CCTGGGGGGTGATTTCTCGCTTTCTGTCTCTATGTCTCTCTCTGTCTGTCTGGCGAGTGCATGCGCCCTATAGTGAAAATCTCTCAAAAAAAGAAAAACACGACATGGTAAATACTGGGTCATTTGAGAAAGTCATGATGTATTTTTCATGTTTTTCTATGCAAAACTGTGTCAAGACTTTCCCCATGGCCCAAGAGTAAGTAGAAGGCAATGCTAATCCTGGCCTGTGTGTGCCAGATGAAGGTCACAGTTGTGAATCCTACTGCGATAGCACCTGCAATTGCACTTCCCAAAGCTTCCCACATAACCAGAGATCCTGCAAACCCCACTAACTACTGGATCCAAAACCTCAGAAAAACTTTTCATGCTTATTTTATTTTCCATATATAAAATATATCAACCACACTCTGAATTCTCACTTGAAATTGCTTCAGGTATTTTCTGGGCATGTATAATCTACCCAGCCTTTCGTACTGTGCGTACAAAGATGAGTAACATGGACTCTATCCTGAGGTAGTCACGATTTAAGAAAGGACTAAGACACGCTGAAAAAGAACTAGATACAGCATGAGCAGGAAATGATGAAAGTATAGACCAAAATGTCAGCGTCAGGTAGAGACCCTAACATGTCTGGAAGAAGCGGAAGCGATTTCACAAGGGAGGTGGAATATAAGAACTATAAAAGATGACTGGAAGTCTATCGGCCAAAAGGACAAAAAAAGCATCTAGAAAAAAGAGATTAACATAAACAAAGACGTAAGGACATAAAATAAATGTTATGTTCGAGGAACAAAGACAAACTTAGTGTGGCTAAAGCCTTGGTACAAAGGGGTGTGTCTGTGAGGACAGGAAATGAAACTTCAGGAGAAGTGGAGCTTTCTTATGAAGGACCTTGTATACGTTGCTACCTAAGCTAGAAAGTTTGCACAGCAACCTGAAGCATTTGAAAAATAAGCAACATGGCAGGTCCGCGTAATAAGGCCAGTTGGGAACCAGCAGTTAGCGTAATGGCTATCTCGCTGGACTGCCACGTAGTTGACCGCGGTTCACGTCCCAGACCCGGTGGCTTAAAACTCACACCGGGCGTGTGTGCGTGCATGCCCAAGATCCTGAGAGGAGAATGGAGGAGAAGGGATCGCGGCGTGACCATCCCCCCTGGGGGGTGATTTCTCGCTTTCTGTCTCTATGTCTCTCTCTGTCTGGCGAGTGCACGCGCCCTATAGCAAAAACCTCTCCAAAAATAAAAAATAAAATAAGGCCAGTAAAGTTCTTACAAAGTGCTACAACGTACAGTATAAGCAAGTGTCCAATCAGTGTTACTGCTAATATTTTGAGAAAATAAGCATTACAGGAACAAAAATAATAATCACCTTATGTCTTTGATCGTAGCTCGTTTCAGGGGGTCCACCTGCAGCATATGCATCAGGAGAGTGGCAACGGAACGATTGAGATATTCTGGGATATAAAAAACACCCCCTCGGATCTTCTTAAACAGCGTCGGCACATGCTCGTCATCAAACGGGAGGGTGCCACACAGAAGAGCATACAGGATGACACCACAGCTCCAGATGTCAACTTCGGGGCCAGCATACAACCTTACAGAAGGAGGACAGCACAGACCTGAAGTGCCCCTACCAGTTCTTCTCATCTATATGTACCCAGCTATGAACACACAAACACACACACACACACGCATGTGCGCGAGCAATAAAGACGAAATATATATTGATTCCCAAGAGACTTAATGAAGTCTCTGGTCACTCCCAACATGCAATGATTGTTCCCTATGTAGAATAATTGCGCTAACCAATGACTCTTCAAGTTTGCCAAGAGAATATGCTTTTTATTTATTTTTCACAAATTCACTAAACTATAACTTACTCATTAGAAATTAGGACACTTTGTCCTGTGGATTTTTGAAGGAAACATCAAAACAGATCATCATAAACTTAAAATACTAAGTACACAGGGTAAACCTTGGCCTCACAGAACTAGTACAAGAAAGAAAATGGCCGTGTGACAGAATTGCCATCCCTGCCCCGTCTATTTCGAGACTATTTGGAACATGAAAGTCCCTAACTAGTGCTGTGTAAACAGTGTGTACCCTGTCCCACAGTATCTTAGTACCTGCTCCTTTCATTCTAATCACTTGCCAGCTCACACGGCTAATATTAACCTGCCCCGGGTCCGGCCGTGGTGCTGGGAGCAGCGGCATCGCCGTGTGCTACCAGAGACCATGAGGGAAAGCTGGGGTTCGTATACCTCAACACACTGGCACATCCACGACCCTGGCTGGCTGCAGGCTGCATCGCACATGAAGACCCTGTCATCAAAACTGCCTGTCTGTCTCAATAAATAAGTGAACTTTAGGGGAAAAAAAATAAGATTAGTTTTGCTCTAGATAACTGCCTAGAATGTTATTTCATTTTTGTATCACCTTTGTATACCATGAAAATTTCCCTGATTACCAAACTCAAACCTGTATCTATGGTAACAACGTAAATCTTTAGAATTCCAATGAAAAAATACAATCCATCCCTATAAAAACTGCTATCATTGGGGCCAGCAGGTGGCATGATTGTTAAGGGTGCTGAACTCCCCCACAGACGACTGCAGTTCGAGTCCCGAACCTGGTGGCTTGTTTTCTTACTTTGCCTCCTCCACCATATAAGATTACACTGAGAAGACAGTGGCCTATGAGGAAACAAGCCCTCACCAGATACCAAAGCTGCTGATGCTTTAATCTTGGACTTCCAGCTTCCAGAACTGTGAAAAATAAGTTTCTGTTGTTTATAAGCCGGCCACTCGACAGTATTTTTGTTATGGCATACTAACAAAAGAATGGATGAAGATAGTCCTGCATTCGTTACTCATATTAATACCTTTACAAAAACTGTATCTCATAGAATTATGTTCACTTTCTACATCAGACTTTGGTCACTGAAATAAGACTTTAAATTTACCAGTGCAATCTATATAAACATTTTTACAACGTACCAATGAATAAGTTACCTGAGGAATTACACAGTCTCCATTGGGTTAGTTTAATTTCATGAAACAACAATAGTCCTCAAAAAATCTCATTCTTCAAAGACAAAATATAAAAGAATGCTCTATATAATTTATAAAATATGTGAAGTATATTAAAAAAGTAAAATACTGGAAAATAATATTACTCTTAAATTTAACAAATGCTTCCTTTCTTATCTGCACTTGTATAATATCTAAATGAAATGTTTAAACATTTTCTATATAATCATTCTCCCTTCAGCAACTGAAAATAATTTGTTCCTACTATGTTAAAAATACCTCCTAGACACTGTTGCTTCTCAGAATAAACTTAAAGGGACACTAGGTCTGCTCTCCACTGACACGGTATTACCTGCCTGAGATGACTTCGGGCGCTGCATAATTTGGAGAGCCACAACTGGTTCGCAGAAATTCACCATCAGACATCATATTAGATAATCCTAAAAATAAAAGTAGGGTGTTTATCTGTTGCTAGGAATTTTTTTTTTTTTTTTAAGATTTTTGCACCTCCATTTTCCTCTCAGGAGTTTGGACACATACCTACTACACATGCCCAGAGTAATTTTCAAGCTGCAAGGTCCGGGACTCAAACCAAAGAGTTCCCCACGTGTGATCTGTCTGCCCTTATCTCCATGCCACCTGCTGGCCCTGTTGCTAGGTATTTTTAAAAGCAGATATAGATAACTATATGAAGAAAAGCATCAAGTCTTTAATTCCATGTTCCATTCTACATATTTTAGATAATCAGTGAAAGCATTCTTTAGACTAGAAAAAGACAATCTCAGAATGCTTACACTATGATAAAAAAGCTAAGGCACATCACATGTGTGACTGGAATTAAATTTGCTTTCTAAATGTAAATCTTGAATCATTATATGAATGGCACTATTCTAAATTATATTAACTTTTCTAAAAATAAAAATATCCTACTTATTTCTCTAGTCAAAAGAATAGACTACGTATATTCTGCTTTTAAAAGCCTTTTTAAAAAGTCTGTAATTAGAAACCAGACAGGCCTCAATTCATAAACAATTCATTGTTTTCCAAAAGTTTTTAATTTGAAAAGCTTAAATTCAACATAGAAAAAATAATCCATTGAGCCAAAAATCTAGTTGAACTATAGTACTATGTGAGTTTCAGACTCAGAGAAGAAAGATGGAAAACTATCAAAACCAAAATGGATTTTTTTTTCTTTTATTAAAGAAATGGTAGAGACAAAAGTTTAAATAAGCAGTGTTGAGTTCTGGTATCTTTCATCTCTTTTTCTTTGGCCTCTCACTTTCTTAATCTTTTTTCTGAAATACCTTCCCAGGTACGTTTCTGCCTGAAGGTGTTAAGGGCACAAAAATCACATTTTATCTTTTCTTTAACCCCTGGTGAAACTTCCATTCTCTCATCAAGTTGCTGGCTATTCCCCTAAGATCCACTGCTATCTCCTAGGATCAATTCAGAAGATGTATAAAGCTTTTCCAAAACTGCATGCAAATTTCCACCTCTGTGTATGTGTATGCATCAAGGAAAATACACTGTCATCAGACTTTCAGAGGTTTGAAACTCCTCGCCTTTCTCCGGCCCCAAATACAGTTAGGTATCATTTCCTCAGGAGATGCAGACTGGATGTGTTTTTCTTAGGGCTAGCCCTCTAACTTCCTAGAGGTATCTGCATTTTTTAAAATGTATTGTATTTAAATAAACAGAACAAGCTCCTCTGGAGACATAACTAAATGTTCTTCATGTATAGGACGGATTTACAAGGTTGAAATGGAACGCTTTTAGTCCAGTAAGAGTTGTTCCTGTCAGGCTCTAAAAGGAAGCTAGTAAATCCCTGAACAAACCTAGAGTGGCATACCGAAATCGGCTATCTTGGCATTCATGTGCGCATCCAACAGCACATTCTCCGGCTTCAGGTCGCGGTGAACCACCATATGCCTGTGACAGTAATCCACAGCCGACAGAATCTGCTGGAAAAGCCGCCTGGCTTCCAGCTCTTCAACCTAGCAAGTAGAAAAGAAACTGCATTAAGAATATCTAACATATTTACTTAGCAAGAGTTTTAGCGTCGTAAGTCACCTAAGCATAACTACGCAAGCTAATGAGAAATCTTGGAATTCTCAACATATCAGATATAACAAACCAATCAAAAACGTGCCCAAGCTCAACATACCGATCGGTACTTCCTTGGTGTGAGGCCGTGATGTTTTGTTTACGATTCCTATTACAGCCCCTCCTCACTTCACGAAGCACCTGTTCAGCCAGTGCTCAGCTGCAGCACCAGTCCTCCTCCTCAGTCTGTGTGAGCCTCAGGAACCCCTTTCCTTGATCTCTGTTGCCTTCCTTTGGTCAGTTAGTTTTTAACCACACCAAGTTTTAGCAGTGATGTAAGACTACATATTTTGTTTATAAATTTGTACTTTATTGTACACCCATAGTAGTATTCAGATGGATGGAATTACATTATCCTAGTGTGGTGTCCTGTGATATCTACTGAAAACTGCATAGCCTATGGCACCACCACACACCACACACCACATGACATAGGCCTTTGAGCTCCTTGCTTATAGACCAATTCACTTAACGACCCAGACATAGGAATGGAACTTGGTCATTAAGTGAACAGTGCCGGTACTAAACGTGCACAATGTTTTGGGAACTGGTGGTAAAACAAAGTAAAACAGAACTTACATGAAACTGCTATGAAAAGGAAATAACTACAGATTCAACATGATTTTACGGAACAGATTTTGAGAACCAGAGGCATTGTGTTGATGATTAAATGAAACCTATTTCCTGAAATCAGTATTTCAAAATGTATTTTTGTATCGTTTTATGTTTTTGGTTTTTCCTATAGACAATATGTGCTCACCAGAGAGACAGAGAGAAAAAGAGAAAGAGAAGAAGTGAGAAATCATCCTCCCAGGGATTAGCTATGCCACAA